TTCTGAAGATGTAATGCACAGAATCATACACATTACCAGTGATGATCTTGCAAGTCAGAAGAGATGGGAATAATGACTTTGATACAATGCTTCTTCAAATGTAGCCCAGAATTGCAACTGCCTTCTATCTAATGCACTTGACTCATGTTAATGGCTGTTAAAGACCAGGATCCCACTGACTAGGGTTGACGTAGCACCATCAGTACCCTTTTCAATGCAGTTATACAGTTAATTGTGGACCCAGCTTATCATAGTGCCACCTAACCATGTTAATATTTTGCCAATAAGAATATCATGTAGAACCTAGTCAAAATCTGTAATTTTACCCATGTCCACTAAAATAACTACTCTGTCAAAGGAGACAAAGTTTTTCTCATGTGGCTTATTTTTGTCAAAGCTAGCAATCATGTTGTTATATTCAAGGTGGTTACAAATGGCCTATTTATTATCTGGTGCAACATCTTTCCAGGTATCAATATTAGGGTTACAGACCAATTATTACTGGGATATTCTTTCTTTTTTTGAAGAGGGGGGGAGCATATTTGCTTTTTCCCAGTCCTCTGGCTCCTTCTTCAGGATCTCTCAAAGATAACTCAGACATCCTGACAGCTCTTCAGCAAGTTCCTTCATTATTCTAAAGATATTTAATTGAATCCCGGGACATGAAAGCATTTAAATTAGCAAGAACTTTTCCCACATCCTTACTAATGTGCACCCTCCTTATTGCATTTGTTTCTAGTCTAGGCCATTCAAATCACCATTTCCTGTGAATGTAAAGACAGAGTACTGCTTTATAAACATTTTAAATACAATTATGTTATGTAATAACAGATGCTTCCATTCAGTTTAATATAACTTGCATTTAAAGTCAAAACCTCTCTTTAATTCCATCCTATTACATAACTACAAATTTTGTTGAAGTATAAAAGAATTACCAACCCTCTAAACAAATGGAAGTCCAAACAGGAAAATTAAGTGAAAAAGTTTACCTCTCATAGAGTTTTATTTTGAAAATCAAGTATTAAGAGAGATAACCACATTAAAAGAAAAGTATTCAACAGTGTGTGTGTAGAACATGAAAAGGTCAAAGATGAGAGAAAGAGAAGATGAAAAGCAAAGTTCTAGCAAGCAAACTGGGAAGAATGAAAAAGTACAGAAAAGCAAAGAATAAAAAAATAAGAATGAAAAATTTAAATCTGTGGGATTTATTTCATCTATTGTAGTAGTTTCCAGTTTTTTGGGTACATAAAATTATTTCCTCCCTATATACAATTGCTCATATTTAATAACAGAGAAAAAAAAATAACATTGAAATTGAAAAATATAGCACAGGACAATTAGTTTAAAGGTATATGTAAAACAAGAATTCATTATACAAACAATTTAGTGTTGTGGATTAACATGTGTAGTGGAATAAAACAATGATTTGGGTCAGGCCTGATATTATTGAACTTTTTAAAGAAGTTATTATTTTTCTCAATCAACACTGAAGTTTCTTTTATTTAGCATATGAAAATTCATTCCTGGCAGATGGTAGCTAACATGTCAAAGGAAGAGCAGAATGAATTCTTTATATCGCTTCTGAATGATGTTGCATTAGTGGGTATTGAAATAGTGATGCTTGACAAAACACAAGAGTCAGATTTGTGTTTGGGATTTACTGCAGATCATTGTGTGTATGGACAATCTGGCTGCAAATGAGTAGCTACGTTAGAGTCTAGTGCTGATTATAATCAAAGACAGACTTACTGCCCAAAGTGTGTAAGAGGAAATTATAGATGGGATGGATTCCTTTGATCCATATGACACTGTCATTTTCTTTTCAGATCTGGCCACACACAAAATTACTTTTGCTTATCAATTTGCCTTTTTTTGTTAGGGTTTGAAAGTATGGCTATTGTAACCAAAGAAATGCTTTGTTGATAAACCTTAGATTTCAAGTTCTGCCTGGCAAGCAGACTGGCTTATAGGACCTAACTGGAGAAGGGGTGGGGAATGTATGTTCTGGGTAGAAGCTACAAGCATACATCTCTTACCGTGATGCTTAAGTGCCCATCTTTTATTTGCATAATAGTAGCAAGAAAGTGAAGATGCTTTAGAAACAGGACTGATATTGAAATTTTGGATGTATGGGATTATTAGAAAAAGAAAATTTAGCTATGAATAATGGAATTAATGAACAAAATAAACTGAGGGATAATAAAATAAAATGAACTATTTAGACAATTAAGATCTGAACTTGAGAGACCATTTTAGAAAAGTCAACGAGATAGAAATATTAGAATTTTAACAGTTGTTTCCTAGGTAACTACATGATATCTTCACAATACATGCAAACACAAAACAGAGGAAGAATCAAAGTATACACTTAAATTATTATGTATTTAAAAGGGAGGATATATTTAAAAAAACCCCAAGGACAGACCCTTAAAGAGCAAATAAGCAGAAGGGATCCATGTTCAGACCCTTTGAAAGACTGTCCCATGAAATTTTGTCTATCATTTGGAAGTTCCCCATCTCAGCATTACAAGAAAAGAATAAAGCTGGATCAGTTTCATGAAAGTAGTGGAAGTAGAGCATTTTTGGAAAGTATGATCTTCTAGTGTAATTTCTTGTAGTAAATATATCAGCAAGTTTCTCCAATTCATCAGTAGTAATACTTAGTAAATTAGACATTGAGAATACCTAACATAAACTATACTGATTTAAATCTACATTCCAATTTGTGTACTAATATCACCTAATATCACTATTAGGAAGTTTCTCCTTAATTCCAGGCTGCTTCTCTCCTTGATTAGTTTCCATCCATTGTTTCTTGTCCTGCCCTCTGGTGCTTTGGAAAATAAGTTGATCCCCAATTCACTTTGTCCCCTGCACTATTATTTTGAATCTGGCTGTAGTTGATGACCATGAGATTCTAGTAATAAAACTGTTTGCTTTCTTCTCATAAAGACTATCTGCTGGATATAGCAGCAAGATTACCGCAGTGGAAAGGATTCAAATGCCCAACTGTAAACATACTCTGCCTCTTTCTTCATTTAAATAGATCAAAATCATTTACCTTATAAATGATTTACAGCAGCATCATTTACCATTTAGTGTTGCAGCACTAACATTTTATATTAATGGTTCAATTAGCAAAAATATAGACTTTTAGGAAGCCATAGTTAAATTGTAACTGGCATGTGTTTTGTCAAGCTTCTTTCAACAAACTCTAGATCTGGAGGCAGGTTTAGGCAGGCATTCAGGGACACAGGAAATAAAAGGAATAAAAGTTACAAAAGAATTCCGGTGATTACTGTTTATCAAAGGGAGGCTCAATTTATAGCAACCAAGGTTAAAATTCTTGTTTTTCTCCATTTGGTGTGATGCAATGAGCCAAAAGATGCTGTCCCTTATAATGGTAACAGAACTAGCCTGGTTTATGCTCTTTGACTGCGACTTTGCCAGACATAGCTGAGAAGTAGAAATGGCCAGTTCCTTACTTACCTTAGACTAGGTGTGTCAAACTCACAACCTCATGTGACATGTCATGATGTATTGTGACTTTTTTGCCATTGCTGGCATGGATGGGCATGGTTTCGCTATGATGCATCCAGCCCATGGGCCGGCAGTTTGACACCTCTGCCTTTCAGAATAACCATTTCAGAATAATCATCAGATGTTCAAGGGGGAAGAGAAAGATAAAGAGGGCATCTGCATTTCATTGTGAAAACTCTCCTGTTCTAGTTTATCTGGGGAACCACTAGCCTCCATTCCATCCCTTTTCCATTGCTTAGCTCCCCATATCCCATTGTCCTTATATGAGCTGGTCATAAAGTCTGTAGCATCTTATTTGGGACTGGAATTTTTAACTCTTTGGGCAATCTTAATAACTGTCAATAAACAATATTTGGTAATTTTATGTATAGGCCTTCAGTGAGATTCTCAGTCATCCAGGTCATGGTTGTCCAAAGGTGCTTTTTTTCATAAAGCAACTGGACTTTCTTGTTTTTCTTTGAAGACATTTCACTTTTCATCCAAGAAGTTTCTTCAGATCTGACTGGCTGATGGGGAATGGCAGGATTTATACTCCTTGCAGACAGCTGGTCATTTGCATTCTTTTAGCCAGTCCCAGGTCATCTGAGTAGTGCAATTGGGTATGGAGCCTTCTTGGAATTGTTGAAAGGACTGTGTTGTAGACTGGGGATAGATGATGTCGTATCCCTCCCCGTCTGTTGAGAGAGGGCTGTTCAGTTTTGACATAGATGGCCTTTGACCCCTCTTTCAAACCAGTGGTCCTCTCTGTCCAAAATGTGGACTTTGCTGTCTTTGAAAGAGTAGCCTTGGCCTTTTAAATGCAGATGGGCTACTGAATCTTGTCCTGATGGGTTTGTTTTCCTATGTTGTGCCATGAGTTTAGGAAGTGGTTGTTTTGTTTCCCCAATGTACAGATTATTGTACTGCATATACCATGTTGCTCAGTTTGTGTCTGGGTGTTTTATCTTTGGGATGGACAAGCTTCTACCTTAGTGTAGTCTTGGGTTTGAAGGGTGCATGTATGTTGTGTTGGCAAATGACCAGCTCTCTGCAAGGAGTATAAATCCTGCCATTCCCCACCATCCAGTCAGAGCTGAAGAAGCTTCTTAGATGAGAAGCGAAACATCTTCAAAGAAAAACAAGAAAGTCCAGTTGCCTTGTGAAAAAAGCACCTTTGGGATATAAGCCTTCAAGTTAGCGTTGACTCCTGGTAACTGCCTGGAGAAGTGCCTGAAGCTTTCTTGGCAAGTTTTGGACATGGTTTGCCATTGCCTTCTTAGGGCTGAGAGAGGAGGACAGGCCTATTGTCACTCAGTTGGCTTTGTGCCCAAGGTGGAACTAGAACTCATGGTCTCCCAGTTTCCAGTCTGATGCCTTAACCACTTCCGCCAAAGACCAAAAATATTTGTTGTCTGCAAGATAGGAACTGTGAATCCATCCCCCTCTCTCTCTGTGCACACAATATTAAGCATGAGAAGCACCTGTCAGGACTGCAACAGGAAGCAGAGGTGGAGAGACTGAGTGAGGATGTCGCAGAGAATTGATACCGCTGCAAGCTGCTAGTTCGTGGGAAGGAGAAGCTTCTTTCGGAACACCCCAAGTTACTCTCTCTTTTTTCAGAGTGCAAACCGAAAAGATTCCATATTGTCTGGCTCTGGAGCCCGAAGAGATGGGTAGAAAGCGCCTGCGAGGGGTGGTTTCCCCGCTCTCCCCCATTTTAAGCCCGGAGAGCGGATTAGGCGAGAGTTCTCCAGCATCCTCACAATCAGCGCTCCCAAATTGGAACTACATGACATCAGCTGTTCGTCTTCAAAGAGACGCTCTTTCATTGGCCGACTGGCATCGCTTTCTTGGCGAATGAGCGCGCGGCAGGGCTGCAGGCCGGGCGAACTGACGTGCGAGCTCCAGTCACTTTGCCGTATGGGGGTTTATTTTGCTTTGGGCCACTCCAGCCGCCGCCATTAGGCGAGCAGGGATAGATTACAGGGCGGCGGGATCGCCTTCGCTCGTCCTTTGACTCCCCCTCTCCTGTTTAGGTGGTAGCGTCCTTCGACTGACTACGTCCTTCGAGCCACCCAGGAAGAAACCATGTCCTGAGCCGGGGGGAGGGGGGAAGCAGGAGGCCGCAACTAGCCGCAGCTTGCGGTGCGGCGCAGTGCATGGGTGGGTGGGATGTGGATGAGGGGGATAGGCGGCAGCTGCTGAGGAGACGGTGGCGGGATCCAAGGACAGCCTTGCAAGGTACGGAAAGCCTCCCTTCCCTTTCCTTGGCCGTCCTGCGATGGGAGGGATATAATGCTTACCAGCCTTTTGGAACTTGAAAAAAATTGTCTCGCATTGAACCTTCTTTTAAATACCCCTCTTCCCCCCCCCCGGGTTTGAACGTGTGGCAGTTTTTGGACGTGAACTATGGAGTTCCTCCTTGGAAGGAGGCTAGGAGCGGAGGCGAAGCGTCCGGTGGCACTTGAGGGAGCCAGAATCAGCTCTTTGGTCCCTTCTCTTCCTGGATCCTACCTGAGTCCCGAGCCTTTCTCTCTCTTACTTCCCCTCCCTACCCCCAGGTTGACAGGGTCACCCGCTCTCGGCTTGCCAAAGTGGGGAAGAAGTCCGAAGGCCGCTTGCTCAGGGAGGGGCGCTTTATCATCTCCCCCAACACTCTTCCCCCCGCCCAAATTACTAAAGCTTGTCCGAATAATTTCTTTCGGGTCCTGTCTTGAGTCTTGGCGCTGCCTTGTATTTTGCTCGCCCGTGAAGCTTTCGCTCATGCCGAGGAAGGGCGTCCAGGAGAGCCGTGGGATGTTTCTAAAACTTCCTGCCGTGTTAATTTGACTTGAGGTCTCTCTGAGAAAAAAAAAAAGCGAGGTCGGGATCCTTGGTCGTGACTCCCCCCCCCCCGCTTCTGGGATCTCCCGGCACCTGCTCGGGAGGGAGGGAAGGGATTCTGTTGCAACTCGGTTGTTTACTAGGCATTCTACCCTTTAGTGGTTGCTAGCGACAGAGTTGGCTTTAAACATTATATGTTGCCGATCATGTGTCCTGAGTCACACTCTTTGCCTCTGAGGTTTTTGGGAAGCCACTGGATATTGTAACTCTTGTTTTGTTTACCTCTCTCTCAGAGAGAGAGAGAGAGAGAGAGAAAGAGAGAGGTTTTTTCCGATGGGCAGTGTGCCCTGCCTTGGTACCATCGCTCCTGTATTTAAAGAGGGAATTTAGTACAATCATCTTGGATTATGTTGCTGTAAAATACCCCATGGGTCGTTGTGGTGTCCAAGTTTTAATATAAATAGCATTTTCCAAATGCAGGGGACAGGTGCTTTGTATTCTTAGTTATCTACCTTCAGTGCTGCAGTATCTACTTCTTACTATAGTGAGGTCATAGCTCTGCTGTTTCTCCTCCTCTGTCGTTATTCATAGCTATAACCTGTGCCTGTCTGTGTGTATTGCAAAACAGCCTGCTATAAACACTGGATTTTTAAGGTACAAATCCTTTATCATTGCTTAAAGTGACATGGATATTATTTTGTGCAGCCAAGTAGTTTTTTTTTTTTTAAAAAATAGGCTACATCTTTGATTTGTTCATGTTTACAAACAGCATCAAGCCAGTATGAGAATTTGATCTAATTAGTTCTAGCTTTAAAAAAAACCCTCCTAAGATTCTTCTAATATTACAACAAAGGTTTTTTTAGAGGTCATTTAAGTCACTTTATGGATGCCTGGACTGCTACAGATGACATTTTATGAGGTTTACATGTTTCCCATGCTGGTTTTGTTTGTTTGAGAATGTATGTTATTTTTTTGTATATTTTCTTTTTTCCCTCTTATAATATTTTTCTGGCATTTTAATAGCAATCTCAGCATGTTATCTAAAATTTGTTATATAAGGCAATATCAGCATAGAAGTCAGGATGCGCAAAGTGATCAAAACATAGTTTGGATACAAATGTTCTTATAATTAAGAGGTGTCTCTCCTCAAACTCATCATGGAAGATGACATGCATGCTTCTTACTTTATGCATTCTGTGATTTTAGAGGCAATATTTATCTAGCTCTTATATTTGTGAAAGGATACAAGTGAGCATAAGTTAGTGCCATTAAACAATAGCAATTATTCAGTTACAGTTTTACTATTTAAAATACCTAATTTCTTACAATTATAATACTATTTCTGTTTTAATCTATGAAGTACTAATTCAGGAAGTTTCTTTTTTAATTTTTGTTTTGAGATGATTCTGGGAGTTTGCATTTTGTTACCCACTGATTCTGAGATGTCCACAATGACAATAGTTGGCATCCAATGATTTGCTGAAAATATCAGTTTCCCATGATATTTGTATTTTTATGTGAAATATCATAAGATCTTGATACTTATAGCCTTTTAATTTATTTTATATTTTAATTTCTCAAATTATTTAGGAACCTATCAAATTCAATGACATTATGCAGTAGTAACCATCAGCTGGAAAGGTTCCTGATTCTGTAATAAGATGTTATGGAATCCTATTACATTGAAATCACAAAGCAATAAGTAAACATTGCAATTTATTATACCAGAACCAAACTTTCAAGATTTTTATTTGCTATTTGCTATTAATTTTCTGCCCTAAAAATTATTGGAAATATTTTTTTATAGGAACAAAACTACTCATCCAAAGAGAAATCAGAATGGGCTATATGAAGTGCAAATAAAAACAGTAATGTTATATAAATAATAAAAGAACAGCAGCATTAAAAGAATTAACCATACAATATTTTTCAGTAACAATTGGCAAGAAAAAACAGTCTCCACCAAAGAAAGAAAAAGAAATAATGGCAGCTTGTAATCCATTTCAAAGAACTCCTTAGAGAAATACTTAATGTTTGGACTTTGTAGGCCTCCATAAGCAGAGCTTTGGCATTGTTGAGGCCAGAACCAAATCAGCCTTGCACTTTGGTTAATTGCTCTTTAAGGTTTTAGAAATGGGAATGAGCACCTAAATTGAGTTTTGACAAGTATAGGTAATTGGGATAGGACAAATAACATTGAGATGATAGGGTCACACTGCAATACTTAAAACCTATTTTAAGTGATGCATTAAAGGCATCCATTTCCAATATATTTTTCTGATCGAACTAAAACTATCCTAAAAGCTTTGCTTTGAGAAACTTAAAGTCCTTGATTTACAACCATAACCGAGCTCAAAATTTCTGTTGTTAAGCGAAACAGTTAAGTGAGTTTTACCCTGTTTTACGACCTTTCTGATCACAGTTGTTAAGTGAATCACTGTAGTTAAGTTAGTAACATGGTCGTTAAATGAATCTGGCTTCACCATTGACTTTGCTTATCAGAAGGTCACAAAAGGTGAACCCAGGGACACTGTAGCCATCATAAATATGAGTCAGTTGCCAAGCTTCTGAATTTTGAACACATGACCCTGGGGATGCTGCAGTGATTATAAGTATGAAAAACAGTCATAGATCACCTTTTTCAGTGCCATTGATTAAGTTCATGTATTAAATTCAATATTTTCATTCTAAAGTTTAAAGTACCACAATACAAGTTCAGAATAGTAGTGGTGAAGACTGTTATTCAAGTTAAGCTAGCACTTATTTCATATCCTTGTTTATGGAAAGGAAGGAACTGACAACTCGGGTTTGCCATTCATGGTAGAATGAAACGGCTATATTGGTATGTGTTCATCCTAATGTATGTATTTGCTATAGCTGTTTAATGAGAGGAATTATTCCAAATTACCCTAGTCCTCAGAGATACACCATCGTTAAGTATGCCCATTGGGATTTGGAATTTTTCTGAGTAGCAGTTATACACACTTCTACCAAACTGTCACATTTTGAGAAGTTTGGTTGCATTCCAAATGCTGCTTGCTCTGTGGCAGAATATAGAAGAAGTATAATGATAAAAAGTTCTCATAAATTGATTTTTGTATTAAATATGGTGCCATGTTGATTAGTACATACAGCTGTAATTGAAACCTAAAGAATTGTCATTATCATACATAGTTTTTGTTTGTCAAGGTGTAAAGATTATTCTTTTTCCTACATTTCATTTGCCCATTAAAAACATAGAGGGTTATCCTAATTCATATATAAAGTTAAGCCAGGATTTGTTTTAAAAGTTATGGTTTATATGAATTTCTGATTCCGTTTCAAACAATAAACTATGTTTTATTTAGCAGCAAACTACAAGTCGCAATTAGGCTTATAAATTGTGTCTTAGTGATGCTCAGAAGAAATATCCTTAGTCAAAATACATGCTCTATTAGAAATCTACTATGCTTCAGATTGAAAGCTAGGTATACACACTGCACCTATTCGTGCCTTCTTGTAGAAGTATTTTCCCCGCCTGAGAAAAATGTAGCTAAGCTATGTGGTTAAGTTCCTTAAGTTCCTGAAGACACTTAATTGTCATTTGGTATGACAAGTTATAGGAGGTAACGTGTTAGTGGCCTTAATTCGAACATATATTTTCCCCAGAGTGCATGGCTACCAAATATAATATTTTCCCATGTTTTCTCAGGCATGAACAACCAGATCCATATGTGCGGAGTTCAAGCTTACTACTTTATTATGTTCTACCTATAATGCAGGAATCTCCCCAGTCTAGCAGCCTACTTTTGGGAACAAATAGAAATGGCTCCAAGGAACTTGTGGGGGTTAGGGGGAATCAGTCCTAGCTCTTTTGCCATTGCACAGTGACTCCAGGCTAACTTCATGCTTGAGGTCTTCTCCCTACCAGGCTGGGTGCTTCCCAACTTGCCTCTTATTAAGGACCATTTATTTAATTATCTCCCACCTTTATTATTTTTATATCTGTCTCAAGGTGGCAAACATATGTAATAACTCCTTTCTCGTCCTATTTTCCCCATAATAAACCTGTAAGGCGGGTTGTCCTGAGAAAGAGTGATTGTCCAAAGTCGCCCAAAGTCGGCTTTTATGGCTAAGGCAAGGACTTGAGGTCATGGTCTCCTGTTTTCTAAGCCCGATGCCTTAATCACTAGACCAAACACCTTTTCAACTTCAGCTGTAAAGTATAAAATGTTACTTTATTTATTTAATAGCTCTGCCCATGTCATTACTGTGATTCTGGATGACTTACAAAGTTAAAAATCCGGAAAGCAGCTGAAAATCAACCAAAATAAAGACAAAAATAATTAAATAAGTACACGGATAAAAAGATTCCAGAAATACACCCCCCATCCCAACACAAAGACAACCATGAGACCTCACAGGGTTGTTTTACGGAA